TCCACCTAGCTGCCTTGGGGCAGGAGCTGGTGGTGGTAGCTGATGCCGGTCTCCCTGGCAGGGAGTTATGCAGTGAGGACATCAGACCTGGGAGTCCTTTGAATACATCTTGCAACTATCTCACATCAGAAGCCTCTTGGGGGAGGCACTGAGGGCAGCCCCAGGTAGGTAGGATTTGGGGATCTGTTCACAGGCTCCACCCCTGGAGGAGAAAGAGGCCCAACAGGGGTGGGGAAGGAGTAGAATGAGGGGAAAAAACAGGCCACTCCTCTCCAGGGCAGCATCCTCAGGCCACAGGTTGGCCTGAGCTAAGAGAACAGAAGAGCACTGACTGGGTTTGAGACTGGAGTTTTCATCTGAACCAGACTGGCCTGGACTTTTTAATGCGCCCAGAAATGAACAGAAATCATTAAGATCTGTGCAAGGCATCATCACGGACAGGAAAAGGAGATTCATCAGAGCACATTTAAAGGAAATACATGGAAAAAAACCACTGAATGATTTCAAGTTGGTACTTCACTGAGTTCAGACTGTTCAAAACACTGGTTACACAGCTGTCTTGAAACCCCTATGGGAGATCTGCCTGAGAAGGGGGTATGCCAAGAGCTACTGGAGCTGCCAGATGGGGAGAGGGAACAACCTGTGTCCCAGGGACGGGGTTGAGCCCCTGCATCAAGCCATGACTGAAGGCAGCTCTGCCCTCTGGAGTTTTCAGTTATAGGGTAAGCTCCCTGAGCCAATCTGGACTGGATTTTCTATCACTGTCCACAGAAGAGTCTGAACTGATGTCACATACATATCTGTTCTCTTTCTTGGAGGGAGGGATGTAGCTTTTGTCAGATTCTCATGGTGCATTGCTATGAAAGAAATGGCTTGGGGAGAAGAAACTCTAGACCTCAAATTAAGCAATCTCATTGACAAAAACAAGGGAAGGCCATCTAATGAGGCCTGGGGATGCTCTACAGGATGGCACAGAAGAGCTAGGTCAGAACACCCTCGTGCGTAGGGCTGGAGCCCCAGAGTCTGGCATTAACTGGCACTCAAGAAATATTTGTTGAATGGAAACCAGCAGGAAAATTATAACAAGTCATACTTTACATGCAAATTTTCAGGAATATTTTCAGGAAAATATCTAATGTGTGAACATCTAATCTGCATTTCCATGTCCTGACAGATGGCCCATATTAACAGAGCTCTGATTATAGTAAAAAATAAAATAAAAAAATAAAAGAAGGAAAGAAAGGAAAGAAAAAAAGAAAATCCACCAATATTCATTGAGTGGGTGTGCAAAGCAACGTTATCGTGACTACCAAAATGTACGTTTTAAAAAAGACAGCTACAGATATTCCCATTTTTCAGAGACTGTTACCCCCAGCTGTTACATACAGAAAGAAAATCACCTTGGGGGCTTGCCTGGCTTAGGAGAGCTTTGGCTCCTGCTTTTTTTCTTGGAAGAGGGATCTGAGCCTGTGAGAGTCTAAGGCTGTCTTAAGGTGGAACCAGGTACCACCTGCATCAGAATCACTGGAAACATTTATTTAAAATGTGGTTCCTCAGGAGGTGGACGTTGCTGTGAGCCAGAATTGCACCGCTGCACTCCAGCCTGGACAATAGAGTGAAACTCAAAAAAAAAAAAAAAAAAAAACTCAAAAAAATAAAAATAAAATAAAATAAAATGCAGGTTCTTGGGCCCCAGCCCAGACTTATGGAATCGGAACCCCTGAGGTCAGGACTGCGGAACATGCATTCTAAGCAGTCTTCCCATCTGGCTTTATGCACATGAAACTTTGAAAAATTTGACCAGCTATAATCTGTTTGTTTGTCCGAGGGGTCTCAGTGCCTTGCAACATTCTCTGTACAGCCCCATAATTACATGAGGTCCTTTGTGTGTGTGTGTGTGTGTGTGTGTGTGTGTCCAAGTTTTGCTCTTATTGCCCAGGTTGGAGTGCAATGGTGTGCTCTTTGCTCACTGCAACCTCTGCCTCCTGAGTTCAAGCAATTCTCCTGCCTCAGCCTCCTGAGTAGCTGGGATTATAGCCACCACACCCAGCTAATTTTGTATTTTTAGTAGAGATGGGGTTTCACTATGTTGGTCAGGCTGGTCTCGAACTCCTGACCTCAGATGATCCAACGACCTCAGCTTCCCAAAGTGCTGGGATTACAGACGTGAGCCACCTCGCCCGACCTAATATGTGGTCCTCTGGGAGGAGAAGCCCTGCTCCCAGGCTGGGGGATTGAAGGAGGCCCGGGTTTGGTGAGACAACAACACCCTCCATGAGGTCTTGGCCAGATAAGGCCGTGCCAGAGGTAAAGGGTGCATGCACGAGGGCCTTTGAATGGAAACACTTGCTGTGTCCTCCTGGCAGATTAACATAACCAGATGTGACTATCGTTATAGCTGGTGGGACAGACTCCGATGGCCCCGTGGTTCTCTAAGTGACACCACACGTTCTAGACCTGATTATCTGCTGCCTTCTATTGCCCTGCAGGCCTGTGGTTGGAAGGGAGATACTGTTTCATAGACATTGTTTCTCAATTGGCGATTAAATTCCTGCAAGGTGAGGGTCATAATTTCTGTCTCTTAGAGCTTCTGCCCCGTCTTCTAGCCTCTGCCATATCTGCTACGCTGCTGGGCACTCTTTAGATGCTTCGAGTCTTTAATTTGATGTGCTTTCTCGTTTACCGAGACCAGAGTGCTGAGCTTCCCTCTAATGCCTTCCTGGTATAGCATGCTAAGCTTCCTTTGAGACGTCACTTTCCCAGGTTTTCAGTCATGTGACTTGAGCGTGATTGACTTAGGGCTACAGTCTGATTGGTGTAACCCTATCAAGGCCCCCATTCCCTTTGCTGCAAGAGTTGGTTCTAGAAAGGGCGGTGACCTAAGTATTCCCATCAGAGTGACCCTCATGACTCTGGCTGGGAAATTTAGGCTGCAGACCCTCTCTTCTCCATTGGTTACCAGCAAGGAAGTGTGTAGTCCCAGACACTCTTGACAGGCTTCTTGGGGCTTTGAACAGAGAGCAGGATGGAGGATGGAGCCAATATAAGAGAGAACAGCCAAGAACCGGGGAGAAACGGGCCTGTGCACCAGTTTGAGACCTAGACAAAGATTTGCCTAGAGACATGTCTATTCCTGAGCTGCTCAATTAAATGTACTCAGAAATTCACCTTCATGAATCTTTCTGCTTGTTTTTCCTTGTTGTTTTTGTTTTGCTTAAACCAGTTGGGTTGGGGTTCCGTTGTCTGCAGCTAATAGACCGCCTTCCTCCAGCTGCTTTCACTTCCTTTGCATTAACGCAGCCCAGTCGCCTTTGGTCCCTGCCTCTCCTCTTTCCTCAATTTAAGAACAAATAGACACACTGCTACGTATAAAACAGAATAAGATGGGTGGCAGGGTCATTTGGATTCATGGCTTGTTGAGATTCCATGCCCAAAGGATATTGATTCATGGATCAATGTCAATCTGGAGGGAAGTCCTGTCCTGTTGAACATTTTAATCAATGACTTGGATGAAATAGGAGACATGCTTAGTACGTCTCAGATGACACGAGGCTGGAGGAATTGCTAATATAACAGATGGCAGAATCAAGATTCAAAATTATTTTGACTGACTTGAACAGTAATAAGGATAAATATAAACTCTTGTGTCTAGGCTCAGTAAATCAATTGTATAAGCAGCATTTGGAAAGGCCCAGGTTGGCAGTTGTCATAACTACTTAGAACCTGAAGTTGACCCTAAGCTCATGTTGAGCCTAAAGTTGAGACAATTAATTAGTAACACAGTGAATGCAGTTTTCAAATATTTAAAAACTGCTGTGAAGAAGAGACACTAACTTTGCCTCTACTTCCCCAGTAGGATAAAGCAGCAGAATTTCCTGGGAAGTAGTCTCTGGTTAATTGAAACTTTTTAAAATTGTTCCAGTAACAGAATAGACCACATTCCAAAACTGTGAATGTAATAGCAATTATATCAGAATGTAATAGCAAGGATTCCATTGTGGTAGTTTTCCTTTGAGAGCACAGATTTTAAAAATGAATCTCTTTAACAGCTCATGAGTCCGAGTTATACCCATACAAGCATCCAGAGGAAAAAGAGAGGTGATAAGGTAGCCTTGCTCAGCACCCTTGTTATATCCGCTACAAGTGACCAAGGGGGCCTCATCTAGAAGAAATGCCCAGAATTTGGCCTGGGCGCTGATGGGCCCCGTCTTCCCTTATTCCATGTGTGAGCCTCCTCCTCAGCCCCTGGTCTTCAGTTTGGCTCCAGCTTGGCCTGTCCTTTCGTCCCCTCCTGCCTTCCAGCTTGGCTCTCTCTCTCTCGGTATTTTTTTTTTTTTTTTTTCCTGAGACGGAATCTTGCCAGGCTGGAGCGCAGTGGCGCAGTCTTGGCTCACTGCAACCTCCGCCTCCCGGTTCAAGTGATCCTTCCGCCTCAGCCTCCTGAGTAGCTGGGACTAGAGGCACGTGCCACCATGCTGGGCTAATTTCTGTATTTTTAGTAGAAATGGGGTTTCATCATGTTGGCCAGGATGGTCTCAATCTCTTGACCTTGTGATCTGCCTGCCTGGGCCTCCCAAAGTGCTGGGATTACAGGCGTGAGCCACTGCACCTGGCCTCCAGCGTGGCTCTTTTTTCTGGCTCACATCTGCCTCCCTCCAAGTCAGACATTGGGAAGCCATAACTCCTTCCCAATCCCTGCCCTTTGGGCCTGACTCTTTCCTGGACCTCTGTAGCTTCCTCGAGCCAGGCCTGGCTTCATGGTCTACCCCAGACAGTGAAGGTACACACACAATGTGTATTTCTGTTGTGGTGGTTGTTCTCAACATTCCATTTTACTTGCTAACCCGGAGAGCAGGAGAAGCTGAACAAAGACCCTGTTTCATCTTATAAGCTTAGAATGTGATATTAGCAAGTTATTAAAAACAAGTTTCACTTCCACAAACACAAAATCAATAGTCCTATGGATATCCCATGAGCAACTAGGCCCAATTTGTACTCACGTGTTTCTCCTTAAAAAGGTCCACTTCTCTCAGAAGCTTCTCTTGGCAGGCGGGGTGGGTGGCCAGTAGGTAGGTGGCAAAAGAAAGTGTGTTGGTGACAATTTCATAGCCAGCAATGAGGAAGATGAAGGCCTGGCCCACAATCTCATCCACAGTCAAAGGCCTGGCCATGGCTCTGGGCTGGTGTTGCCGGGAGGGGTTCGGCTTGCACTCAGTAAAGGAGAAGACGTCTCTGACAATGTCAAAGTCTTGCACGGCCACGGGACTTGCAGAATGTCGGGCATCCAGGACCATTTGGAGGAAGTCTCCCCGCCTCTAAGGGACACAAGCAGAAAAATGCACATTTTGGCCTTGCAGTCAGTCATTAAGAGTGAGGCTTCTTGGAGAACAAAGGAGGAAGATACAGAGGTGTAGCTTTTGAAATGCTCAGTATGAACCAAGGTTCCTCACTGCTGAGTTATCTGGGATGGTGAGAGCCTGGAAGCCACCTGAATGTCCCTCAGTATAGCACTGGTCAGGCAGATTCTGGGGCAGTGAAGAGCAGTGTAGGATGCTGCCCTGAGCAAGGCAGAGGCCATTCTATCCGGGCTGATTTGAAAGTCATTGAGCCGCTTTGTTAAGAAAAACAAAGCAACCCTTTGGGAGGCCGAGACGAGAGGATCACAAGTCAGGAGTTTAAGACCAGCCTGGCCAACATAGTGAAACCCCGTCTCTACTAAAAATACACACGCAAAAAATTAGCCAGGCATGTTGGCACATGCCTGTAGTCCTAGCTACCTGGGAGGCTGAGGCAGGAGAATCACTGGAACCCGGGAGGCGGAGGTTGCAGTGAGCTATTGCGCCACTGCACTCCAGCCTGGGTGACACAGCGAGACTCTGTCTTAAAATAAAAATAAAATAAAATAAAAACCAAAGCAGGTCATGGAACAGTATGCACAGTGGCTCTCATTTCTGCAAAAACAGCAAATGTACTATATATATATGATCATGTATATCTGTCTATGCATAGAGAATTTTTAGCAACGTCCCCACCCGACAGTTCACAATGAGCTGGAGGAGGTAGGAACGCCAGGAGGGGGCTTTTATTTTTCACTTTATACATTTTGTACTGTTGGTTGGTGGTTTGTTTTGGAAAAATAAAACAATGAAAACATCATATAGATTGAAAGCCAAGCACGTGCTGTACTGCTCACTTATGTGCAACGTAGGGCTTGGATGGGCAGCCACAAGTTTTTCTCACACGGTAGAAAGTTAACAAAGGTGGGGCGAGGGGAGGGGACTAGTTTGATGACGCCTGTCTTCAAAGTCTCTAGGCTTTGCCTTCTGTATCCGCTAGCCTTCATATCAGATCTTCATATTGCCTCCCTCTTTTTCTCTGTAATCCCCTGCCCCCATTTAAGTAGAGCTTTCTTCCTCCACCCTTTTTATCAGGCATTTGCATATTCTTTATATTTTCACTACTACTAATTGTAACAGTAGGAGTGTTTCTAAACTGCTTTTGTGTTAACAGAGCGCATTCCTAGAATATCCTCCTTTGAAACGCTCTTTGATGTCATGAAGGACAACCGGCACATTTCTGTTTTCTGAAGTTTATGGGACTAAAATGGCAAAAGGAGAGTATCAGAACCACCAACAGGGAAATATTAGAATTTCATTCACACCAACAGGAAAATATTTGAATTTCATTCACAGTACTGTGCTAGTGGCAGCATTTTCTCAATTCGTTGGCTTCTGAATTTCAATTGCATTCATAATCTATGCCACACACCTGAGCGTCTGATTCCATCTTTTAAGACTTGTCGTTTCACGTGTGGTTGCTTTTTCTCCTCCGTAAGATTATAAGCAACTCCAGGGCGGGACCCCACCCTCAACACCATGCCAGTTTTGTGCTGAGCACACGTGAGGTGTGCAATCCATGACTCAACAGACAAAAACGTAATGCAGTATGTGCACTGGAGGAAGCGTGTGTTGAGTTTGATGACAAGTGCATGCTATTTAGAGCGGGAGTCCTGAATGCTGATGCCTTTGCAGCTCCACTGCACCCCAGCCTTGTGATTTTGGACGGTGCCTACTGGGATCCTAGCAGTGCTCAAGGTGAAGGCTATGGGCGCCACAGACCTTGAGGCTAAGGAAGCAAGTCCTCAGCTTCCCATCGGCCTGCTGGGTTCTCATAGCTGAGAAATGGTGAAGGGTCGGGGGTAGTTGCCAGCCTCATTCCACCCAGGCCCTGCTTGTTCTGATTTTCAAATGGCATCCTCAAGGGTTGGCATTCCCCAGTTGCCATCCTGCTTCTTGGTCAACATCTGGGCAGCTGGTGTGGTCCCACTGCTGGCCCTGCTCCCATGGAGCAGAGCTGGGGTAGGGTCAGGCAAGATGGCACACAAGGGAAGTGAGCATCCTCTGCTCCCTCAGCTCTGGGACACCAGCACAGGACCCCAGAGCATGCCCAGACCTCTCTGCCAGTACCTCTGAAACTCCTCAGGGTGTGATACCATTCTGGTCCCTGAGGCTTGGCTATGGCTTTGCTGAGGTGGTGTAGGGGTAATGATGGGAAAGAGGGCATAGCCACCTCTACACTGGGTATTTTTTTTTAAAATGGAGTCTTGCTCTGTTTCCAGGCCAGAGTGCAGTGGCACGATCTCAGCTCACTGCAACCTACGCCTCCTAGGTTCAAACAATTCTCCTGCCTCAGCCTCCCGAGTAGCTGAGATTACAGGTATGAGCCATCATACCTGACTAATTTTTGTATTTTTATTAGAGACGGGGTCTCTCCACGTTGATCAGGCTGGTCTCAAATTTCTGACTTAGTGATCCACCTGCCTCAACCTCCCAAAGTGCTGGGATTACAGGCGTGAGCCACTGCGCATGGCTTACACCGGGCATTTTTCTATGGGCAAAACTGCAGCCAGCATCCTTTCCTCTTATTCCAGCCCAGACAGTCTGCTAAAGGGCTGTCAGAGTCTTGCAGAAATCTGTCTTAACTTCCAGCTACAGAGGCCAGAGGAAAGGCCACTCTCTAGGGCCTGTGCGCTGGAGAGGAACATTAGTGTGGATGGGTTTCTTTTATTCACACTGCGTCAGGGAAGCTATCTGAACACTGCCCATTGAGGACTGAAATGGTGCTGGTTTATGGTCCTATCCAAGAAAAATACGCACCCTGATAGATGTAGGTGTCTAATCCACCCATCGGCTAGAGCTTAGAAAAATATTTACCTCTTAACATCTGTGCCGCATTTTCACTGCGCAAACACACATCTGCTTGATGGAATGTATACAGACTTTAGATGGTTTTAAAGCAAGTTTTCTTAGTAACCGTATAGCTCTGTCTTGACATGGCCGTCCTGGATTTGTGGTTGGGAGGTTTTTCTCAGATCAACTCATTATTTGAAACAAACAGCACTAGAGTTTATAAAAGGAAAAGCTCTAGGCAATCCCAGTAATTGGATCTTTAATAACCTCTCACCTCTTAGTAAGTCATTCAGTGCAACAGTTTTAAAATTTTTAGCCTGATTCCATAGCCAGGCTAGGGGATTGTGTGTGTGTGTGTGTGTGTGTGTGTGTGTGTGTGTGTGTGTGAACGCTCTCAAAGGGTGGCCCTTCGGAGCAATGCTGAGGGTTGAAAATGGTTCTTATTTTATTTTTTGAGAAGCAGTTTCGCTCTTGTTGCCAAGGCTGGAGTGCAATGGCACAATCTCGGTTCACTGAAACCTCTGCCTCCCAGATTCAAGCGATTCTCCTGCCTCAGCCTCCCAAATAGCTGCGATTATAGGCATGCACCACCACGCCAGGCTAATTTTATATTTTTAATAGAGATGGGGTTTCTCCATATTTGTCAGGTTGGTCTCAAACTCCTGACCTCAGGTGATCCACCCGCCTCAGCCTCCCAAAGTGCTGGGATTATGGATGTGAGCCACACGCCCAGCCAAAAATGGTTGTTTCTTTATCCCTCCTCCTCCTGGCTGCATCCTCACTCTGCTGAGAAGCATGAACCTGGATCAGAATGTTCTGTCCTTTTAGGCCTCAGAGCTCGGCCAGGGATACTGGCCTTAGCTGCCTTCCTCCCACACCTCCAAGGGTATGTGAGTTGAGTTCACAGCGGTGCGGGCCGAGGGGTTGTAAGCCTGTGTGTACCTTCCCATGCCTTCTGCATCTAGACACATGTGCTGCACAGTTCTCAGGGTGCAAAGCTGCAAAGGACACGGTCGCTGCCCAAGGCTGCTCAGTATATCAAGCCACTAATTGACCCCTGATTTCATTCCAGGCCAATGCCTTAACAATTGGACCTCGCCAATTCCTCTGAGCCACCCACCCAGTCTTTGAAACAACCCTTTTAAACTTGCATCTTGTGCGAGTCAACTAAGGAAAAGCCATTTCAGCCCTGTTTTTCCTTTTTAGTAACTTTCTTTAACGCCACAAGGCCCTTAAAGCACAGATTTACACATGCATACGCATATCCAGTATTGAAATGACCTTTCTTCCCACAGAAAATTCCTCTATTTTTAGCCAGGTTCAATAACAAATATTTACTTGATTCCTACTATGTGCCAAGCATCCTGCAGATCCGCAAGGAGGAAAGAACATGCTGGGTCTCACATGAATCCTGCTAAGGAGTCCAGTGGGCCCTCAACCATGAATTTTGTAGCAACATCCTCCATGCTCAGTGGGAGTGTGGGGTTGACTGACAGCTGCCGAACTGTCTAATAAGCATGCTGTTCATGCTGGAAAACTCCATCTTGCTGGGTTTTCAATACAGAGAATATGCTCATAAAAATTGCATGTGGGCACATTTACCTAGAAAATTCTTCTAGGCTGCTCTCACCTGTGCTTGGGGTGATGCTGGCACTAGAGAGAGAGTTTTGGGGGCAGCTTTAATTCTACCCGTCCGTGTCAGAGGACGTACACATTGCTCTAGGCTTCTCCTCTCTGCCTCCCACACACCCTTTCTTGTCTGACCTTCCTCAACCTTCCTCTGTTCTCTCCACTGTCCCTGGAAGCCGTAAGTGGTGGACTGCTGAAGGACAGCATAGTGTGATGTGCGGGGTTGGGAGAGAAGAGGAAGAACAGAGACAGTGATGCCGGAGTCGGCTCCATTCCATTTCAAGGCTGTGTCCTATTAAAATACGTTACCTCTTCGGCAGCTTGCTGGTCCCGCAAGGCAATCACATTCCTAATGAGTTTGTTAAAAAAGCCATTCAGTTCATCTCGGTTCTTATTGGGCAAAATCCGGGCCAGTGGGACCATTATGGATGGAAATGATACTTGAAAGAGAAAAACAGAAGTGGCATTGAGAAGGGGGTGATAATAAACCAGGGCCATTAGATGCCTGTTCCCAGGAAGCACACACAGGCCTGGAATTGGAGTCGTTTGGAGTTCTGCCCTCCCCGCCGCACTGCTGCTTCTAAGAGCAGGGGTGATGTCTTGCTCCCTCTCGGTACTCCTCACCATTCCTGGCACATAGTAAGCACTCAATAAACATCTGTGCAATTAATCGAGTCTGCACTTCCATCTGGCCCTCTAGAGGTCAAGCTCATCCTTATAAATTAATGTTTCAGTTCCTGGGGATGAGAACCCAAGGTCTTTGTACTTCATCAAGAGAGAAAGGATAACAGGCTGTTTCAAGCCTTAGCAAGTGGTAGAAGTTGATTTACTTTTTACAAACTTTCTGGTCATTTGAATTTTTTTTCCTCTGGATAACTGTCCCCAGCGACCTCCTGAATTGCTTCCAGGAGCCGCTGCTGTGGGTGCCTCCCTTGCCGGGCCCCACGTATAGCATGGGCCCTTGCTGCCATGTGTTGGGGACTGGGCTGCCAGCATCAGGGACCCTTCACCTCCCCTGGAGTGGGGCGCTGGCTGGGTTCACCTTCTTGGTTTCCATGGTGGGTGCACCCTGCATTGGGCTCTACAGGAACTGAGCTGGTGAGAACAGCTGCAGACACATGCGCTCTCAGAATGCGCGGGCCCATTTTCAAGAGCAAGAGCTCGAACCAACACGACACGGCAGCAGGAGGGCCCTGCAGAGGTAGAGAGGAGGAGCAGAAGGGATGGCGAAATGAAGCCACCTGCCCCACGGGCCTGGGCCGTGGTTGAGGCACAAGGGGCAGATGCAGCCTGGGCAGCCTCCAGGAGTGGCGGAAAGGGTGAAGGAAGAGACTGCTAGACGCTCAGTGGCTCTGCCCTCGATTTCAGAGCAGAGCTGGTAGGGGCAACAGGGGCTCCCACGGACATTGGCTCAGAAATGGGAATGAAACTGGTCAAGGAATGAATGGAACTTGCCAGCCTAGCAGAATGGCTAGAAATCGTGGCAATAATCGGTAACAATCGTAACAAAACGTCAATGCTCCCATAAAAGCAAGAAGATACTAGAATTGGCCAGAGGGCAAAACCTCACATCTACAACTAAAATAAAATGAAGAGACTGGTCCCCGTAGCAATGGGTAGCCAACTACTCATCCACCACACAGGATTTCTATGTGTTGGGCTTCAAGTGGAGAGGTCTTTTGGAGAGGATTTTGGTGGAGGAAAGAAATAGGCCCTAGGAAATGAAAGGCTTTGGGTTCCGGTCTCAGCCCAGCCTTTCTTGGTCTGTCACCTGAAAAATGGGGACAAGAATATTTTTCTCATGGGGTGATTACCGGGACTACGCGAGGCAATGCACACCCAGTGCCTAACACGGTGTGTCCCCACTGTTCTCACCATGGCTGTGGGACCACTTATTGCTAATGCCAGGGTTATGTACGGCATTGGTAGTAAGTGGCCCTAGGCAGGTGACAAGAGGAAACTGGTGGCTCCATAAGACAAAGCCTCTGCAGGGGAACACCCCGAGTCCCTTTCCCAGTGGCAGGGGCAGAGCCCCAAAAGCCGCCCCAGGTGTCATGGGGTCTGCCCAATTTACTAGGGTCATTACACTTCCCTGGGCTGCAGCCGCACTTACAGAGTAAAACCAGGATAGGTCTAGGGATGCAGAATTCGAAGAAACGCTTGCAGTGTTTCACAAAGGGATCCTCAGGGGCCTGCTGGGAGTCCACCGGGGTGCCGAAGGCGACGCTGGCAACCACGTCTGTGGCGTAACAGCAGTAGCACCTACGGCAGATGGGAACACAGGGATTTGAAAGGACTCTGGCAGGGGCTACTCACAATGTCCCCTCCAGAGGATCTGCCTACACTGGCTCGCCTCGCCTGCAGGTGTGCCCAGCGGAGGAGCTTCTGCAGATCTGTGGTGAGGTGGGGGGAGAGGGGACACTCTGAGCAGCGACAGCAGAGCACGGGAGGAGACACGAAGACCTGCCAGCTAAACAAAGACCCGGGAGAGGAGGAGGGCACCCCCTCTTCCACCTTCAGGCTTCAGGCAGCCGTGGTCGACCAGAACACAACCAAGTACTGAGAAGGACACTTTACATTTTCCTCCCTGGGAAGGAGAGCAGACAGGTGAACCAATGCCTACATGCTTTACCCAAAGCTCTGCACAGTCCAGCTCAGGCCAGAATCTAATGATTAATTGATAGACATCAAATTGTCATTGATGGATTAACAACCTAATTATCTAGTTTTATTAAGTTTGTCTCCCTCTTCCTCTTAATGATTTTATAGTTTTCTTTACAGCAACAAACAAAAAGCAAGGGCTCTTCACACTCAAATAAATACAGGACAAACTTTAAGGCAAGCTTCATGAACATCTGTATATTATTACAGAAAACACACACTGCACTCTAGAAACAAACAGAAGGAAACGTGTCTGCCAGGAGCTCCAGAAAATTTAACCTCTTAGGCTATAGGAAACCTGTCCCTTAAAAGGCCATTTTAAACTCGAATTATTCCTTTTTGTTATAGGAGTAGTTAGATTAAATTCTTTGCCAAAAAGCTAAAAACTGGGTTAGTAATATCTTTTAATAATTAAAAGGCCTATTATTGTTCTCAATGTAGACACACACTTAACTCCTCTTGTATGTTAAGTTCTATAACCACTAACTTATCATGAAGGGATATATGACATTTCCAGATGACTTTTTCAATTCTGAATGCTTTTATTGAAAACATTTCTACAATTGATTGCACATTTCCCTGCTAGAGTGAAAACAAGAATGAGACTACTGACTGATTTCATCTGATCTTGACGGTTGAAGATTTAAGGGTCTTAAGGACTATTTACTTTGCTTTTATAGCTGATGAGTCCACCTTATTTTTAGCCAACTCACGCATCCTATAATAATCAGAGAAAATGTGGATGAAAAGACTGTGTAAACTGGTGCAATACCAGTGTTGGCGATGATTCTGTTATTATTTTATTAGCAATGATAAGGATGAGTCCCTTTCTGGCTGATTCACCATCCCACTTTATTTTTTATCTGCTGTAAGCCATGATGGCATAAAATGACTAAAGCAAAGGTGGCCAGTCTCTTGGCTTGCCTGGGCCACAGTGGAAGAAGGAGAATTGTCTTGGGCCACACATAAAATACAGTAACACTAACGATGGCTGATGAGAAAAGGAAAATCACAAAAAAAAAACTCAGAAAGTTTACAAATTTGTGTTGGACCGCATTAAGACTGCCCTAGGCTCCTTGTGGCCCACAGGCTGTGGGCTGGACAGGCTTAGACTAAAAGTTTTTTTTTTTTTTTAATAAAAAACTTTTAGTTATAAAATGATGAAAAGCCAGATAATCAATTATTTAAATTTGGTGTCCACCATTAAGTCATGGCTTCTGGGCTGAGGTGCAGCACAATTTTTCTTGACATGAAAATGCCTGAACCTTCTTCCCCCTGGGCCCTGTCCCTCCCAGGCCTGTCCTGTTTGTGCCTGGTTCTGTGGAGGTCAGAGGTTGGATCCATCCACAGATTCAACAGGCCACACGTCCCCTGGCTCTGCTCACATTTCTTTCCCATGTGAAGTGGGTTTCTTTTCTTCTTATTAGTCCATCCATGCTTTTATGAGCTTCTAGCGTTTCCACAGTTTGCTAGTCCCAAGGTAATTGTCCAGCAATTATGGACAGTTACAAGAAGCAGCGATTCAAAAATGCGATTTCTCATCTGTAATGCAGCAGCCTTACCTCTGGATGTCGAATGCGTCCCCAGAATCTCCATAGCGTTTTAAATGAGCCAGGAGAAGGTCGCAGGCTTGGCTGATGAGGGGAGCCATCTGATAATGGATAACAAAGGTGTAATTAGGGCACCATGCCGGGAGTACACCTAAATTGGCTGCAGATGAAGAGGTTATATGTGGTGCTTTCTGGGAAAATGAACACTGGAAGATATTTTTCACAAGGCTAAGATTCAAGAGGAAGATCCTAAAATATTCATATTCACAAAATACAATAGCTTTAAACATCTATTTTAGCTTACGCATTTTTTATCTTTGGAAACAAAGAAGAAGAACAGATTTACAGTGAATACAGTGAAATAATTATGAAAATGATCATTAAGTGCTTAGACAAAACTGAGAATCAGTACTCAGTTTCATGACATTTGGTTAGCATTAGTGAGTAAGTAGAGCCCAATCCATATGCACTATCTCTGGAATTAAGCCAAGTCTATGCTTGTTTGTTCCAACTGTAATTTAGATCTTTCACTAGAATATTGAATCTCAGTATCCAAAGGAACCTAAGGTCATTCATTTCAACTTCTTATTTAACACAGAAATTATTTATAGAGCATTTCTGATGGATGGTTATTCATTTGTGCTTAAGCCACTGAGCTTTCAAATACTGGGAAACTCTTGAGTTCAAGATGCCTCCTATGCCCACACAGAGTAATTGCTGGGTTTCTTTTTTTTTTTTTTAAATAGGAAATTACTTTTATAATAGAAAATTTCTAACCTACAGAGAAAGGTAGAATGGTATAATGAAGATTCACATAGATACCACTCAGCGTCAACAAATGGGTGGGTGGAATTCTTTGTGGAGCCTGCTGGGCACCCATGCGACCTTTTACTCTCTTTTGCATGATTAAAAGGCCAAGCTGAAAATATCGAGCAGAATTATTTCATTTGGTGCCCATTCTAGAATAGCATCATAGCTAAAGCAATGTGCTCTAATACATCGTTCTGAGCATTCCTCACAAAAGACATAAAATGTAACCTATGTTTAGATTTTGTGATTTTGACACAAGAATATTGAGTTCTCGAGGTCAGGGAGATTTTAGTCTGTTGTGTTTTTTTTATTATTATTTTTATAATTCCAGCACCTAGAACAGCATCTGGCACATAGTAATTATTTGTTAAGTGAATGGACAAATACTTGAACTGTATTGATTATGTACTACCCACTCTTTCCTTTTAAAGTCTTGAGGCACTGGGAAAAGTTATAAAGTTAATCTGCTTGTCAAAAGGTACGTTATTGTACCGCGGCAAAATCTGACTTCACCTAACAATCTTTTGTTGGTTTCATCTCTCTTCTCTCTTTGTGACAGTGCACCCAAGACTCAGACCACAAGTGCCTATCCACTCCCCATCTTCTTGTAGACAACTGTTCCCATCTGTTCCATAGGGGCTGAACCACATGGCTTGCACATGCCTCTCCTGCCTTACTGGTCTCTTCTTTATCAGGGTCACTCCTAAAGGTGGCCTCATAAGTGGATCACACTATTTCAGGTATGGATGGTATATGGTAAATGAATCACTTCCTGAGATCTGTATCCTACACGTCAATCGCAACACCAGGTTTACATTGACTTTTTTTAGAAGACAACACAGGCAAATATTTGAGGTTGAGGTTAATGAAAACCGCATTCTTTTTCCATGAATGATAACCATGTACAATTGCTATTTTGATTTTTTTTTTAGGGCTCATTCATCAGAAAGGCTTTAGTTGCTGCTCTGCTATGTGTTCTGAGCAGAACGATCTCTTAACTTCTCTGGAATATTCTGATGGCTGGAAACATCTGGTAGAGTGGGCAGCTGGGAGGCTATTGGCGGGCTGTTGGGAGGACATGCAATTTTATAGGACCCTTCCCTCTGCAGCTTCCTCCGAGTCAGATCCACATGCTCTGGGTATAGGAAAGAATTGTGTCACCAGGGGCCCAACTCCTCTGCTGAAGGAGTGGATCCTGTAGATTGAGGGTGAGGGGGTTCTGTAGATCAGAGCTGAATTGGCTCCATGAAGGCTGCCAGGTAGAGGCAGGAACCAAGGAAGGGACGGTGGCCTGGACAGCCCTATGGACAGCTGAACAACAGCTCAAGGAGCAGAACGTTCAGAGCGTAACACACCCAAGTGGGGAGATGATACAGAATCTGAGACCCATGAGTCCCCTGTTGCCAAGGCTCATGGAGGGAGGGCCATTTTGGGAAAATGGATTTGCTGTTCATAAAGAAACAGGGCTTAGAGTGCTGGGGTGTTTGAACACTGTGGGAGAGCAAGAGATGTACTCGCTCATCAAAATCCCATCACCTGGCCAGGAGTGGTGGCTCATGTCTGTAATCCCAGCACTTTGGGAGGCCAAGGCAGGTGGATCACTTGAGGTCAGGAATTTGAAACCAGCCTGGCCAACAGAGTGAAACCCATCTCTACTAAAGATATAAAAATTAGCTGGGCATGGTGGCAGGAGCCTGTAATCCCAGCTACTCAGGAGGCTAAGGCAGGGGAATCGCTTGATCCTGGGAGGTGGAGGTTGCAGTGAGCCAAGACTGCACCACTGCATTCCAGCCTGGGTGACAAAGAGAGCCTCTGTCTAAAAAAAAAAAAACAAAACCCATCACCTGCAATACTGGCTACTCTTTCTTTGTTCTATGTGAAATGTAGTAAGTGTGCCTTCTAAGACTTTCTTCGGTTCATTGGTCTGTAGACAGGCCCGGGTGCTGCTGGTGTGGCCATCCACTGGACAGCTATTTTAGGTAGCCACAGAATCATGCATCGTCGCTGCTTTTGGCTCTTGGCCTACCTGTACCTGAACCTAAGTAAGTACTCAGCCAGGCACCACTTTACCGATGAGTCAGCTGGGGAAGACTGTCAAATGATTTGCAGAAACAGAAATGTGATTTACCTCATCTACTTATCTGGAAGTCAACTCAAAAAAGAAAAATAAGTATGACTATCTTGATTTATTCTTATTATCTTTATGTTGATGCTTCATGACTACTGCATGCTTTTTTAAATTCTCACAAATCATCCATTTAATAATCCATCAGTACAAAAGGGCATATAAATGGGTCACTTAAAATGGCCTCTGGGCCGCAACTTCCAAGAAGTCTTAGGCTACCCTTAATGTTGGAGAAGTCAGTAGAGTTTAAGCCACATTTTTCTGACTAGTAGACTAGCTTCGCTGGCTATCTTCCTTCAATTGTCTTAATAAGTTCAGCGGTACAAGCGAACCCTAGTTTAACAAAATTCCTTTTAGATTTATTTCGGAGGAATAGTAGCATGGTATATATGTATATGTGTGTGTGCATATATATATATATATATATGCAGACACACACTCTTTGAAAGAAAGTCTCTTTAGATATCAAGCTTGAAGCTTTCTTAACAGAACAAAAGAGATGCAACATAAAATGTGATTTACACACAACTCTTCAGAGGCATGCCCTGTGTATAAAGAAGGGTCCACTCATTCTGAATCCAAACATATTCCTGGACAGTGCAAAAGGGAGCTCAGGCCAGCTGCCCACCATCAGGTCTTTTACGTGCTTTTGACTAGAATCCTTTGTTGCTGCCTGGCGTGACTGTAATTTTCTGCTATACTCTGCCTGCTGTCTGTTGAACTGAATGGATAATGACATTTTTATTTGGGTTAATGTGATATGAGATGGGGCATGTAATATGAAAAATGTTTTAAAAAGCAATGCAGAGAAAATATTATAAGACAGTGGAGCATAATCTGTATGTTGGCCAATAGCCATCATTTCAGGTTTTCTTCTTTGCATTTTACACAGCAGTTATGGAATATTTACTTTTACATGAGTTGCATACAAACAAAAGCTCTCTTTGATGGGCTTGCATAATCTTTATACAATCCACAAACCCTGCAGTTCTCCTAGATTTCTGAACAAGCACGCAAATGTGGCATGTGCACACACACGCACAGATGAATACACAATGCTATTATCACTCAGATCTTAGTAAGACTCATTTGTTTGTTACATTTCATCTTCTTCATGGGATAATGAATGATTTTTATTTTTGTTTTATTCCAAATTTTTCACAATGCACATGTATTACACTTATAATCAGATAAAATATTAATGTTATTAGGTTTTTAAAAAGTGATTTATTACAAAAAAGAAAAGAAAACAAAAGTGATTTATTGGTATTCTTACAGACTGAATGTTTGGGTTGCTTTGAAATTCATACATTGAAGCCCCAACTCCCAGTGGAGCTGTATTTGGAGATAGGGCTTCTAAGGAATTAATTTAGGTTAAATAAAGTCACAAGGATGGGGCCCTGATCCAACAGCATTGGTGTCCTTATAAGAAGAGACACTAGAGCACTTATGCTTATTCTGTCTCTCTCTCCCTCTCTATCTCTCTCATGCACAAAGAACAGGTCTTATGAGCACACAGCAAGATGGTGGCTACCTACAAATCAGAAAGAGAGGCCTCACTGGAAACCAACAACGCTGGTATCCAGCCTCCTAAACTGTGGGAAAATACATGTCTGGGCTGGGCACAGTGGCTCATGCCTGTAATCCCACCACTTTGGGAGGCCAAGGCAGGCAGATCACTTGAGGTCAGGAGTTCAAAACCAGCCTGGCCAACATGGTGAAACCCCATCTCTACTAAAAATACAAAAGCCCCACCTGGTGGCAGGTGCCTGTAATCCCAGCTACTCGGGAGTCTGAGGCAGAAGAATTGCTTGAACCTGGGAGGTGGAGATTGCAGCGAGCCGAGATCATGCCGCTGCACCCCGGTCTAGGCAACAGAGCAAGACTGTCTTAAAAAAAAAATGTGGGTTAAGTCACCCACTCAATGGTATTTGGTTGTGACAGCCCAAGCTGACTAACACAGGGCTAACAGTTCAGCAGCCAAATAGGGGAGAAAGTTTCTCATTTTGTTCCTCTCACCTCTCACATTGGTTGTCCCTATTAGAGGTGATGCTGAGTGTGAGGCTGAGCAGCTCTCTGGTAACCAGTGGTAACCATTCTGGGGAAATCACCATCCCCAGCCTAGAAAGGAAATTCCCCAAGGAAGAAAGGTTCTGCATAACCTGG